ATTATTTACTAATTGTTTCATAAACTTACGGTTGGCACACCCGAAATCTTGGATGAGCTTAATGTGGATAGATACAAACAAGTCAGGGATACAAATCACTCTTCAATTTGAAAATACTGAATATGTATACTAGAAACTAAACAAAAAAAATTGTATGGCCCCAGTTTAATCAATGATAGGAAATCAAACCCTGACAGTGTCTAAATATAAAATCTAACAACAGTTTGCATAATTCTTATTACTTACTTTGAATCCGAAATTTGTAAACGATATAGACCAACACTTAATCTGGCATTCCGCTACACATGATACTCCTGTAAATGTTCTCAATGTATATGTGTCTGTAATGTCATAACAACCTAATGAAGAAAGTAACAAAGAATTGGAAAACAAAACTCACCAATACCTTCTAGCTTAAACTCGTGCAATGCCTAAAAATGATGATGGAACAAACACGTGCTTTTCGAGTTAATAACTACATCCACAAAACCTCCATATATAAGTACATCATTGAACATCTAATACACAGCATTAGGTTCATAAATGATACATGTAAATAAAATTACATCTGCTATTCTGAATTACTTTGGATAAAGGGTGTTATATGTGTCATAAAAAAGTATATATCAACAATGATTAACAGGTGGACTGGTATTTGTTTACCTATTGTATCTATGATTCCAAACCATAGTTTTTGTACTTCACCTTTGACAAAAACATCACATTTAAAACAAAACAAAAAAAAATGTTAAAATGATTTTAATTACCATGAAGAAGTAATTTTAGAAATATTCATATTCATCAATAATGCATCTTCATCTGTACACAGTTTAATGAAGACAGCTGCATGGTAAATGTGTATGTTTAGGTACTCTCGTCCTTTGACGCCGAAAGAAAGTATTTCAAATAGCGTGTGTGTCTTTTTTGTAATACTATCCCTTAGTCATTGTAAATTGAAGCATTAGACTACAGAAATCGTGCTAATAATTATCTATTTTCAAATCCAAAGTTTGGATAAATTAGTATCATTTATCTTTTATTCCGATACATTACTGACCTACTATTTCTATCCAGTCTGAAGTCTTGCTGTAAATAGCCTTTCCCAACAAGATCACTTTTCCGTGAAGAACATCAAATTCCTTTAAAACGTTTTCTCTAAATTTTAAACCGTCATTACCGCATTAGGCTGATGCTTTGGACCACGTTAGGGGTACATCATGAATAACACTTGTCGAAGAATGTGCTGAATTGCAAAGGTATTATCAACATACATTATTTGTCGAAATGCACACCTAGTGTAGTAAAATTAGTACCGTAAAAGTAATAAAAGTTAATGGGCCATGCATTTCAATGTATTGTCCCTCCTTGAAATCACTTTAATTTTTTACACATGTCCAATTTCTGACTGTATTTTGATATGTTTATGCCAGCTATTTACTAGATATCTTTTTCAGGACATTTTTCAACAGGATGTACAGATTTGTTTTAGAAAATGAATAATATTAGTCTTTAGATAAAGGGTGTTATATGTTTTATCTAACCTTTTCAAAAGTGATTACCCCATATTTGAGTTTACTTAAATATTTTGTTTACCTAGATGAATCGTAAATACCTTGGAATTTCTTTTTTTTTCCACCATTAAATTTGATGATGTTTATCCTTTTAATAAAAACTGTTTTTCTAAATAATAACATTTTATTTGAGAAAAAAAAATGTATGATAATTCCAGATCTACAATTTGCATGATTTTTTCAAAATTTTCCTTAGATATTCAATTACAATATATTCATTTAAACTTACCGTAAGTTAAAAGATTACCAACACATTTACATAATATATATATATACTGTAACATTTAGATGTTAAAATATGATGTAAATGCATAGGCGGATTTAAGGGAGGATGACAGTGGCCTGGCCCACCGTTATTGAGCTACAAAGATGGTAAATGCATAACCCACTCCAAACTGTTTTTAGTTTGCCCCCTTCCCCTTTTCAAAATCCTGGATCCGCATCTGAAATGGACAAAACAAGATCTAAGATCAGATCAGTTTTCAGTTTAATGGAGCTAAGCCCCCTTTCAAAAAACCTTGGATTAGCCCCTGTTAGTAGATATTTTACTTAGAACTCAAGGGCGGATTAAAGAATGGGGCGCAATCAATTGTATCTTCTTGGTAAACACAGTGCTAGCCTTCTATTCTGGAGCTCTACCTTGGTCTACTTTATAGACATTATATATTAGACATTTTTTTATTCACCAATCATGGGAACTTATATACACATCTAAACCAAAGACAGAGACAAATTATCCTTCACATCTTCTGTAAATACCAAAAGCACCACTGATTTGTTCATAGTTATAATATGATTACAGATGATTAACGACGTTTAAAAAAAATCTGACCAAATAAGTGCAATTAGCATTTTGCATTAACAATATAACAGCAAAGTCATTTGGTGATCTCAACCACAAAGACTGTTTAAATTCCATCAGAGGTATAGTTGTTATTCCGTTTCGCATTTGTTGTATGATATCGCAAGTGTTGCTTTTGTTTTCTTATATTAACCTCATAAATAAAAAGAAAAATGTTCCATCACAAAAAAAGAGAGACGGAAGATGACAAGGAACATTCAAAGTCATAAGTCAAAAATAAACTGACAAACTATTCTTAACATAATTTTCTCTATACATCGTGTACATTGAATCATCTTTGTATGGCAATTCTTGATGATCCACGTTAACAATTAGATAAGTGTATACGCATTAATAAATAAAAGTGATTGTGAATTTTGTCGTTTAATTTAGCGTATATTACACTTCAAAGCTATCATTTAAATGTCAATAACATAAATATAAAACAAAATACATGCTTGAACAAGTCCCGCAGAAATGTGTGTAATCGTGGTTAACATAGGCAACATATCGGACGTAAGTATACTTTAAACTATTTTTCCTTATTTTCAGGTATTCAATGCGTAAATTATTAGCGGTATACTTAAATCGTTCAAGATATATTTGAATAAGAAAACATTGCCGTTTTACCAGATACAACATAGACTCTTAGTGCTATCGTGGGAATATAATACGTGCTCCCTTTACGTACGTTCGTACCTTTCTTCAAAATGTAAGAACGCATTATATAAACTATCCGTCTTTTTTTTGTACAAACGTATTTGTAGAGTGTACACAAATTGAAACTGAACAACAATGCGATATATAGATCTAATTCCCCCTCTCAAAACGTCTAAATAGAGAAAATCGGGAATGTTGTATGTCATATTTTAATGTTGACCAAAAAATACATGAGATCAAATAAACCACAAAAGGAAAATACAAGAATAATGAATCGGTCGGGAAAATTGTAGATCACCTACAAATAAGAGAAAACTATAAGTTTATAAAAATCTCAAGCGTATTTAAAAGAATGTTATTTGTTAACACGTGACGTAAGCCAATAATGGCCAAAATATCTTGAGTTCACTTACTAATACTTGTAGATACCAAAACATGTAGATTAAATTCTTAAAACCTTATATCACATATTTTATACAACTTTTTTTTTCCTACTATTTTTAAAGAAAGTATACTAATTAACTGAAACCATTTTTATTACAGGTGGACAATGAACTGGTCAAATTGAAGTGGCTAGTACACACAAGTGAAATGTGTAAGCCGCATTTTAAGAGTTAAATCTTAAATTTTGTTGTTAGATATATCAATTCATCTTTTATAAATAAACGTTTCTAATATATCATTCATTGTCAAATATTATTTATAAAAATATCTATTACAGTTAACGCAAAGGTATATCAAACATACCAAATAGAAGAAAAAATGATACGACAAAAATCGGCAATAAAATTGTATTCCTTCTCATCATATCCATGACAAAAATCATATACTTCATAAATAAATAGTTTTGAAGACACGGAAGTTGAACCAAGCTGATTACAAAGTATGGGGTATTGTGTTTACCTATCAATTCAAGCAAATGATATGTGTACTGAAATATTGATTCTGTTTGACATAATAAAAGTAAAACAAAATGTGTTTGCAGCTGCGCAGAATTTCTTATTTTAATGAGACCATTAGAAGTCAAACCTATATAATGAGAATATATTGTATACGCATTTGAGGGCCTCTGAAGTTACTTCAATACCTTTTGTAAACTTCTGCATAGAATCGTCGACTAATACTTGAAATGCTATCGACGAATACTTAAATCAAAAATATTGATAGACTGAATCCATAGTATAATGTAAAATAACAAACAATACCGATTTAAAAACGATAAGTCCCTTAACAAATGACAGCATCAAAAGCTAAAACACATCAAACGAATGAAAAACTACTGTCATATTCTTGACATGGTACAAAAATAAGTAAAAAATGATGGATTTAACCGGGTTTTAAACCTCTTGTATGTCATTCACATGAAATTATATTATATTGAAAACAATGTGTGACAAAAACAAACAAACATAATAGGTAAATTGATGTAAAGTAGTCAACATTTTGTTATAATCTTTATCAATATAAATGCAAAACAACTATGGCAACAAAGAAAAACAAAATTGCCTGTAGACACTCCTTAGACAATAGCGATTTTCCAAAAACCTCTCTTTGTAGAAACTATTTTTGAGTCATATGGACCTTTTGTCTTAACTGGATAATTGTTTAATTGTAACTCAGCAAATCCTTAATTTAAGATATTTGATTTTTTACCTAATTTGAAAAGTATGAAAAACCCTTCGAACACAATGTTTGTTTTTACATGGAGAGGTTCGATAACTTCTGAAGAAAATATATTACATACTCGGAGCCTCATCAGATATGACATGACAGTTAATTTTGTCTATGTATTCCCTTGGTTGATTCGTCGAACGTTGGACTTCTCATTGTTGAATTTAACGTTTGCCTCGATATTTTTGTCAATACATTTTTTGACCAATTAGATGAAATTGTCGGTTGAGTGAGTCAGGACTAGTAGATTAAATTACTTGTTATCCTGTAAAACAAATTTTTCAGGTACTGAACCTTGAAGATGATAGTAATAAAAATTAATTGTAAAGAATTTTCAAAATTTGCAGTATTACACGATATCAGTTGTTTTCAGAATCGGCGAATCATCGGCGGAATATGCCTTATTTAAGAATAGTATTAGCATTTCTTAAAATGAACTCATTATACCTATGCTTTTGTTACATACGTTTATTTGAGTTGAAATGTAGCACTAGCAACTATCCTTGCAACTACACATTTTCTGTGTTAACATTCTTTCAGTCTGTCACAAATCAAGGAGCGCAAACATATATTTAAGTAGCTTTGATAATTTTTTGGAACTTTTATGCTGATATTAAAGCATCTGCTTCTTTTCTGCAATGGTAAAACTTTGTGTTGAATCCTAAAGTGCTAGTCTCTTTTATCTATATAACGACATCAAACAAACTTTGCAATTGTATCGATGTAGTCATTGTGTATCAGTTAACGGCAAATAAGACCCACAACCTCACATCGGTCGTCATAACTTAGTTACAGACCTTGTTTACTGCATCGTCGTGACTATTAGAAATTGTCTCAGCTCTCTTCTATAATTTAAAAAAAAAAAAACACCCCAAAATCAATAAAAAAAAACGTCATTGATGGCAAAAAAATCATTAAGGTGATTTTTGTGATTTTATTTATTTGTACATCTTATTGTGGTGATAATTTATCTTAACAAATAAAATGTTTCTTGAAAACCTAAAATATGGATAAACTAAAAACAAACCCTTCTTAAAAAATTGGACTGGCAATTGAATTTATTTCAAACGAGAATATCCGGAAGTATTGAAAATATAAACAAAGCTTATTTTTTTGGGAAAGTAAAAATAAATTTAGAACAGTGGTTAAATATGAAACTACACATGTATGATAAAAATAAAACATGTTGTTTTTTTCTTTATCAATTCCAATTTCGAAGGTATAGCGAAATGTGTATTCTTTTGTTGTACTTTGATATGTCGTTCATAAGTATAACATACAATTTTGAAGCAAAATCTTTCTTTTCAAGTCTCAATATAAGAGATTATTCACGAAAGAACAGAGTATAAGAGTATAAGGTAGGACAGAAGGGGGAGAGTGAAGAAAATAATGTTACAATGTCGGGGCCTTTTATAACCGACTGTACGTTATGGATTTTTGTCATTGTTAAATGCCGTATGTTTGCTTTTAATAACTGCTCGTATCGACTACATTAGGTAAGGTAGCTGGTGTGTCTAAATGTTCGACGATATATTATTCGTAACCGTCTGTCATAGACTTCTCGGTCAGTGTATTTTCAAATTTCAATATAAAAACTGTTGATCACGGACCTTTTTTTTCCGTAATAATACATTGAAATAACGACACTTGGGGTATTTTATTTTGTTTATATAGGGGAAACTTAAGTTTTCCTTATTTAGGAAACACTAAACAATAAAAGTAGCTAAAATTGGATAAGAGAATTGCTTTTCATTAATACTTCTGAAATATAAAAAAAAAAAAAAACAATGGGGGGTCTTTTTTATCTTAGCGTTCGTTCTGGTCATGTTGCAAAAATTCCTTTTTGTTTTTAGATAATTTATTTGCCTGGCTTATTTTCTTGAAAAACCCCAAAATTCATTGCTAGTTCAATCTTTTCAAGTTTTAGGTATGTTGTTGTTTATTGAATGATACTAGGTAAAATTATCTTAAAAACAAAAAAGTATTTTTGCAACATGACCAGAACGAACTCTACGATAAAAAAAAAACACATCCGATCGACCTTAAACTGTGGCTGAAAGATGTCTCATTTGCAATTATATCACATCTCCTTATCTTTATATTATATTAATAAAAACAATTAATTTGCATAAGATACAGGCACAATTTGTATGGCCCTATACATAAGGTAAACTCGTATAGCATTTCATAAGGAACAGTATCAATGCCAACTTCCGAAGCAAGGTTGTCAGCTATCCAAACATTCCCGAAGTCCTGAGTTTATTGCTGACTTTATGATCTTTGGTCCTTGCTTGGAAGTTGTTTCTTGGCATTACACTGGATACATTTTTTACACTTTTTTAGAACTATACCGGATGGATACATTCTCATAACATTGCACTTGGTACATTTTTATAGCATTACATCCGTACATTTAAGCTGCTAATAATATTATTGTTGTTTGACGTAAATTTTACATTGAGGTTCTGAAAAAAGAAATCACCAATTCACCAACATTCCAACTGACTCCATTTTCAGAAAACGACATCTGTAACAAACATAAACTTTTAGCTACCGCTTTACAAGCAGAACCAAATATAATGAAAGTCCCAACTATGTATTGGCTTCCGAAGTTACACAAAACACCTTACAAATATAGATTCATTTCGTTTTCAAGCCATTGTTCCACTACTAAATTGTCTACTCTTCTTACCAGTACACTTGGTACAATCAAAAACCTGATAATACATTGTTCAAATAAGGCCTTCGAAAATAGTGGAATTAATTACTTTTGGAGTGTCAAGAACTCGTTGGAAGTACTTGATAAATTACATGCATATATTGGTGATTTTGAATTCGTTCAAAGTTTTGATTTTTCTACCCTATATACCACATTGCCTCACATTCTCATTAAGAAAAAATTCACACACCGAATTAAATGGGCATTTACAAAGTCAGAATGTGAATATATATGTTCAAACTCTTTTAGGTCATTTTTTAGTAGCAATAAACAAAAAAACTATGTCAATTGGACATGCTTTGATACTATATATGCCCTTGAATTTTTACTAGATAACATTTTTGTTCGCTTTGGAGATTCCGTATATCGTCAGGTTATCGGAATTCCAATGGGGACTAACTGTGCACCACTTATTGCGGACCTTTTTTTGTATTGCTATGAGTTACAATTTATGACAAAAATCAGCAAAGACCCATCGAAACAACATCTAATACACAAATTTAATAATACTTTTAGATATTTGGATGATATTTTGGCTCTCAATAATGACGACTTCAGTATGTATAATAAAGAAATTTATCCTGTTGAACTTACTTTAAATAAAGCTAATACTAACAATGACCACTGCCCTTTCCTCGATCTAGATATCTATATCATTAACGGAAAGCTTAATACTAAAATATATGATAAAAGAGATGATTTTTCATTTCCTATCGTTAATTATCCATTTTTAGATGGTGACGTTCCCTTGTCACCATCTACGGTGTTTATATATCTCAACTTGTACGATTCGCTCGTGTATGTAACAATGTTTTAGATTTTAACGAGAGAAATTTATGTATTACTGAAAAATTATTACACCAGGGTTTTCGATATCACAAACTAGTCAAAACATTTACTAAATTTTATCATCGGTATAAGGACATCATTCGTAAATATAGGTCAACATGCAGACTTCTTACACGTTCAGGTATTTCACATCCAATTATTTATGGAAATATTCTTTATAAAGCACAAAAATGTCACCTCTGAAGCTAACAAAACCTTTAAATAGACTTATTAAGAAGGGATATAGTTACGATACTGTTGTCAGGTCATTAAAGATTGCATATTTTGGCGTTAATATTGATTCACTTATAGGGTCTTTGCATCGGCACTAAACACATTTATTTAAAAACCAGTTGTTGGCATGACACGGGCTATGTTCTTCTCATATATGTTATGATGGTATGATTCTAAACCCCTAACGGGAAGGATTGTGCCTGATATTCATATGATGAAGACATAATCTTTCAATCAGTTTAATTGAAGTCTGGAGCTGGCATGTCAGTTAACTGCTAGTAGTCTGTTGTTATTTATGTATTATTGTCATTTTGTTTATTTTCTTTGGTTACATCTTCTGACATCAGACTCGGACTTCTCTTGAACTGAATTTTAATGTACGTATTGTTATGCGTTTACTTTTCTACATTGGCTAGAGGTATAGGGGGAGGGTTGAGATCTCATAAACATGTTTAACCCCGCCGCATGTTTGCGCCTGTCCCAAGTCAGGAGCCTCTAACCTTTGTTAGTCTTGTATTATTTTGAATTTTAGTTTCATGTGTACAATTTGGAGTTTAGTATGGCGTTCATTATCACTGAACTACTATATATATTTGTTTAGGGGCCAGCTGAAGGACGCCTCCGGGTGGGGGAATTTCTCACTACATTGAAGACCTGTTGGTGACCTTCTGCTTTTGTCTGTTCTATGGTCGGGTTGTTGTCTCTTTGACACATTCCCCATTTCCATTCTCAATTTTATTTAAAGCATTACACAAGTACATTTATAGCATATAACTATACACAAAGCTTTAGAATTACACTATACAATACTATGCTAAGGCATAACACAATCAATGAACTGTGCAACGGGAAGTTATATAAATGGTACAAGAAATTATTTTCCTTGTTACTGAAACTCTAACACACATAATATCATGATTTGTCGTGTAGTTAAAGAAAAGGGGAAGCGACCAAGAAAAACAAAAATTGCAAAGTTGATTCACATGCACGTGTGTGAACCTGACAGATAGAAATGGGTTTTGTATGCAATACTTCGTATAGCACCGAAAATGGTGAGGATGAAAAGATGCAGAAAATTAAATTTACTTTATGTGCATACGCGATCCAAATATTACAACAGATTTTTTTAATATGTATAGAATCATTCTGTCAACGCTGTGCTAACCGAGACAATTTCAAACTCGATATTTGATTCATAATTATAAGGACAATACACACATTTCAAAAAAGATGTGGAACCCTGTCTAATCTAGAAAAGATTGATTTGAAGTCTATACAGTAACTTTTTTTCCCCTGCAGTTTATATATGTAATGCCAATTTGCAATTTTTGGGGCACCAGAAATCATCCTTAAAAATTAGTCAGTGTATTTCCTTATAAATCGATTAAGCTTAAGCATTTTCTATAAGTAGGAAAATGGGTTAAACACACACTCACAAGTTTTGTTACGGCCTTGTACGGTATAACAATAATAACGTTATAG